TCGGTTATGTTTCTATTGATTACTAGTTGCAGGAAATAAGTTAGTCACTATTTTTGCACAGAGTTTTTCCCTAAATCTCATTTATATCCAAAATTATAATTATCAATAGAATACCTTAGGGTGAATAAACTTTTTTACTAGGTGGTTGGGAAGGGGTCTTTATATTAGTAAGATTAAAAATTAGTTTGACCCCCAAAACAATAGGCGAAATAATTTTTAAGTAAAAAAAACAGGTGAATCACTTTTATCGAACAGCACTGTAGATTATACTCAATGAAATGGAACTGTTAACTAAAGGGTTTTATATAGGGTGTTAATAAAACAAATCAATAGTGACTGTTAAATTGACAGCCAAACGTATATACCTCTAGACAAAATATTACTAGTAATATTAGAAGAATAACGTGCAAACTATACTATACCAAAAATCTAACTAAAGACTTGCTTTATATATTTACAAGGTTATTCATCATATAAGAGGCGATTATCAAATTTTAAAGTCTAGCAAGATTGCAAGGTGAAATATATTTACAATTGACTTTTAATTCAAATCTTTAAGACCCCACCCCTTTTTAAAAACTGAGTATCTGCATTTTCTCCTGATTACACAGAAAACAAGGTTCGTATAAGGATCTACATGTCCTTGCTAGTTTTAAAATTTTCAATTTAACTTCAGGGGTTTTATTTTCTTTTTTCAACTTCCAAAAATATTTTGAAAGTGAAGTACTATTTCTATAAGTAGTATTAGTAAAAGAGGATAGGTGCTTATAACAACGGTTTTTGAAATTATTCTTGCTACTGCAATATAAAACTTTTCAACCCTGGGATTTTCTATTGTAGAGATAGAATACAGATACACAAGGGATTCACTTAAGCATTTTGTTACACAATGGGCATTGGTTAGGATTACTACAATAACACTGGTCACTGTCCTTAACAATATTTGCATTAGTGCTTGCATTCTGGTTAAAATTATTGGTTAAGTGTTCTATTGTTGTGCAAATTTATGATTTTTACTAAGATTATTGGTACAGCTATAACTAAGTTTTAATGTATTCCTATTAAAAATTTTACTAAGATGGTTGCTTCTCGGAAAATGTTTGTCAATTAATTTGAGATATTTATGGCCTAACTTCGTACTAATTGATTATCTTCCTATTTCTATTTCTTTTCTGTGGATTACCATCATATTCTCTAAGCTGAATTTCAGTAGACTTACAGCTACTATTTCTAAGAACTTTACTATGCACACTGCTATGTTTCTCAAACACATCATTGTTCGGTGAATGTTTGCTGATCCTACGTTGTACAGAAAAAGGAATATGTCAAATTACAGACAGTGGGTGATTGGAATTGGGAGGGATATAAACTCAGTTGTCATTCTTCTTTATATAAGACTGAAAATATCACAGAATAAATATATCGTTACATCTAGAAAATCAACTTGTTTGACATGAGTGCTTATTTTAATCTTAACATCTAAAGTTTTAAATTCCCTAGGCATCATTTTTCTAAGTTTATCGACTTTAATTCCCATAGAGTTTTTACAACCATAAGGCCATGATCTCTATACAGTGCTATACTATCCAGTGTAATCTCCTCATAAGCAGTAAGATTGTACAAAATATATAAATTAACCAAGTCAGAAGTTAGAATATAACGATCCTATAGAAATGTCAAAGTTATCATCAGAATATTTTACGCACTGTTCTTTATTGTGGATAAGAACAGATTTCCTACAATTCATAATAATATTTATCTCTTCACTTGAGATGTTGGAATAAACTTTGGTAAATTCTAATGCCAGTGTAAAGAGTTCCTCGGGTATTGAAGGGTAGAAGTCAACAATATCGAACTGTAGAAAAGTGCAGCTGTTTTTGTTGTCGATGCTTCTAAACCATTTAATAGCTTCCGTGGGGGCTGATCCATTGAATAAGTCCAAGGTGATTTTTAATCTGTTTATTAACGTGTTCTAGGATAACTTTTCTTATCCTTCCAATCTCCGATCTGGTGGGATTAATAATCCTTGTAGGCAGTTTGGTCTTGAACTCAGGCTTAAGGTCTTTACGTAGAACAGAGGATTCCTTTGTGCTAAGTTTACTACACCTAGTGCTAATTTTTAGTTTATCGGTAATATATTTAGAAGTGCTGATATATATATATATATATATATATATATATATATATATATATATATATGTGTGTGTGTGTGTGTGTGTGTGTGTGTGTTGTTTGAGTGAGTTTTAATTGATAATATAGACATATTGTGTCTACATGTTTTTATACATATATTTTTATACATATTAAGGTGCATATAACATTTAATACCATTTTACATTTCTTCCAATTTCCGGTCAGCTCTCTCATATTGAAACGCTTGTTTCACAAAAAACAAATCCATAACTACAAAGGATAAATTTAAAATTTTTAAATAATTATAACAGTGCGCGCGTTTGCATATGTTTTTAAAAATCTACATCACAACGGAATGCAGATTTTAATTCAGTTACAATAAATTTGTCTTTGTAATTTACCCCTGAAGAGGATCTTCGAAAATATCGAAAGTACTTCGGTTAACAAAAACTACGGCGATTTCCTTAATGAATTTCATCTTAACATCAAGAAACTGATTAGAGAACTGGAAAGGATCAGTATAAAAATAAGTAGACCACAATATGTCCATATTGTCCAATGAAACATGTTTCCTTGAAGATATGTATTATAAATACACACACACACACATACATATACACACTGGGTAGCAAATGTATTTAACACATCGGTTTTTTATAAATTTCACAATAAAAAATTTGAATGATACTTCAAATATTTTAATGAACATTTTCTAAATAAACAAAGGAAAATTGAGAGACATTGTTTTTTTATTGCCAATTTTCGAATTTGACTGTGTGCAAAAGTATTTAACATGATTTATTAATATTTAGTAGCATATCCTCCATTCCACCTTTACAGCCTCTAGTCATTTTTTGTAGTTTTCAACAAGTTTCTTGCATTAAGATTTTAGCAGTTTCACCCATTTTTCTTCACAGACTTTCTTCAGTTCCTTGATATTTTTTATCTCTTGCCTGTACTCTCAACTACAACTTTTTCCATAAATTTTCTATTGGATTGAGGTCCAGGGATTGGCTAGGCCATTCCATAACATCAATTCCATTTTCATTGAACCAGTGTTGAGTTGTTTTAGCCATTTGCTTTGGATCATTGTCCTGTTGGAATACAAAATCTCAGTCAAGCCCCAAACCTGTTGCACTTTTTAATAAAAGATTGATAAGATTTGATTGTATTTTGCTGCATTCGTTCTTCCTTCGATGACTTCCATTTCTGCTACTCCATTATATGAAAAACAACACCAAATCATTATACTTGTGCTCTTATACTTGACTGTTTCAATGATGTTTTCTGAGTTGTGTTCAGTTCCTTTTTTTCTTCCATATTTGGGTGCACGTTTTCGCTTCATCTGATCAAATAACTTTCTCCCAGAATTCATTTGATTCAAGTTCATAATTTTTAACAAATTTCAAACAGTCTTGCACATGTTTACATTTTAATAATAGAGTCTTTCTTTGTGATTTAGAATCAAGGCCTATACGATTCACTGATCTCTTAATTGTATCTTTACTTACTTTAATTCCAATATTTTTCAGATCATTCTGAATTTCTCTGCGAGTCAAAAATGGTTGTTTCTTCACATTCTAGGCTATATATTATTCAGTATCCTCGTTTAATTTATGCAGACGACAACTCCCTTGAAAATTTTCCGTAGTATCATATTTTTTCCACTTTCGAACTGCAGCATCCACTGTACACACAAGCAAATTTAAATCTTGAGCAATTTTTCGATACACCTTACCATCTTTGTATAGCTTTATAATCTTCTATTGGATATCGTAAAACAATTCCTTTGTTTTAACTATTTTTATAAGTTTAGATAGTGGGAAAATCTGTACTGTATCAGACCTGTTATCACTAAGTGTCGATTAAGTGACTTGCTTAGTTAATACATATATTGAAGACAACCTGTGATTGGTTGAAGTACAAACCTATCAAAATAACTGACAATAGTTTTAAAACAACCTTTTTATCGTATTTGTATAGGTGTTAAATAATTTTACACACAGTCAAATTCGAAAATTGGCAATAAAAGTTCATAAAAACAATGTACCTCAATTTGCCTTTCTGGTTATTTAGACAATGTTCTTTAGAACATTTGAAGTCTCACACAAATTGAATATATTTTATCGTGAAATTTAAAATAAAAAACATGTGTTAAATGATTTTGCTACCCACTGTATACACACACACACACATACACACACACACACACACACATATATATATATATATATATATATATATATATATATATATATATGCATACATACAGAAAGAGAGAGAGAGAGAGAGATCTACTCTACCGTCGAGAACGACGGATGATTTTATACTGAAAAATTAAAGAAGTGAATTTAAGTTTTAAATACTCAATTCACAGTAGTCTACAATGCACACTTTCCCTCATAGCCTCATGTCCTGTATCGATGCACTGTTTACCACATGTCGTTCCTATCCCAGGCTTTTTTGAAGAGAAGTTTTCCATCTAGCCTCAAGTTGACAGTTGGCTCTTATATGAAGCTCATTCATCAGCCCTTTCCAGGAAGGTTTTAATCTGAGATATATTTCTTCTCGTTGCTGAGCAAGGCTATAGGACCCAGTCTGCTCCGTTATATACCCATAGCTGGTGGTGGCTGTGGAGAAGAGATGGATTCTTACCTTTTCTGAGGGTATTTGCGCATAATTAAACATGCAGAAGCCATACTGAATTGCTGTGAAGGAGATTCAATATGTCTTCTGCTTTCGAATCCCACGATTATAAAAGTCAAGGGGATGATGACGATTATGATGAATATAACGAACAAGACGAGAATTCGAACTCTTCTCTCTAATTCATAATTCTGAGCCGTTATACCACCCGCACATCCAAGCTTACAGAACCTGCTATTCTCATGTGGTCACCCATCTAGGTGCCGACCAGGCTGGGCGTTGCTTAACTTCAGTGACCGGACGAGAACCGGTTTTTAATATGTGATATCGTTGTAATACACATATATTTGGCGATGTAAGGAAATCATTTAAATGAGAGAAAAGCAAAGAAAGACATATTTGATCATTGGATATATTGGAACAATGAAAGACTAAAAGGCAGGAGGCAAAAGGTGTATCAATTACTGCATTAAAATTGTTTGTAAAGAAACAGAGCAAAAGAAAGGTGAAAGAGAGGGCGTAATTGAAACTGTTTTTGTATTTTTTTTAAATCTTTTTTTTTTTCCACATATAAAATTAATTTTTGCATTTCTCTTCCGGCTTCTTGCTTTCCAGTCAACTTTGACCTTCAAAAATGTAAATGCAATGTCAATCGTTATCTTCTCTCTTCTAAATCCCCTTTCCTTTATAGTTCCTCTCCCTTTAATAGTTTTTCTCATATTCTCTAACACTCAGTAATAACTTGAGTCTTAGTGATTTTCTTGGATGGGATGAAATGATTAAAAACATATCCATACTTGTATAACATTTTGATTAAAACATGAACGAACGAGAAATATTAGAATGGATAAGGGAGGTCATGAGAAGATACAGGCAAAGGATGAAAGAAAAAACACACAGTGGATAAATGTTGATTGCCAACACTTGGGGAATTCTTCCTGCTTCAGTTATTACCAGATGTTCTTCAGTATTTCTTTCATTTTATTTTCCGTGTACCATGCTTTAGATCGTGTCTGCATTGTATAATCGTTAAGTAAGATTTGAATTGGAATATAAATAATTAGCTTCCCGACAAGATGTAAAAAACGCATCGTGTATCTTTGTGATTTGAGCATCGCGATCAACAACGACAAAAATTCCCCAAAACGCGATCAAAAATAAAGCACCCTCAATTGAACAAAAGCCAAAATTCGAATAAAAACAACGTAAAAAAAAAAGATATGCTCTTTTGCTAAAGTCGAAGTGTAGCGGAAATATAACGCTAGGTAAATAATTATAAACCTCTTAACATTTATATATACAAAAATACTCTAAAAATGGGAAACATCAAGATACGTAAACAACCAAATGAGTATTATTTATTATCTCTCTCTCTCTCTCTCTCTCTCTCTCTCTCTCTCTCTCTCTCTCTCTCTCTCTGAGATCAGGTATTATAATCACTTGCATTGTTGACATTATTCCGACTGTTATCTTCATCTTTATTGCCCTATTCACAACGTTTCGGCCGTTATACGCTCCGGCCTTCTTCAGATAATTGGAATTTCGGATCGAACCCTTTATTTCGTCCACCGGGGTAGACTGTTCTAGTTTCACGTGCCATGCCTCATCCGGATGTCTCAGTTATTTCCCTTTGACTCAATTCTCCAATTTTTTTTTTTTGCTTTTTGGGGGTTATTGAAAGTGGAGGCATGTAACATAGTTCAACTTCCCTCCTTATTTTTTTTATTTACACTCTGACAATTGTCCTCATTAAATCAGAGCGTAAATAATGTAAATAATGATGCTGACCCCCAAAAACTCGGGCAGAAAAATTCCTTTTATATTGCATTTACTTTCGCACAGTTTCGAGTGGGAAAAGCGTGAATCCATCTCTTCTCTCCTCAGTTAGTAGTAAAATAGCAAGGTAGACTGGGCTCTCTAGCCTTGGATAGAAACACATCTCAAAAAAGGAACCTCTGAATTTTGAACTCATGCGAAGTTAACAGAAAACAACTGCACTATATTTCCCGAGACGAATATGCAACGTGGTTGGTCTAGATCTGGTATTCCGTCTGCAGTCACTATCTCACAGACTTGTTGTGACTTCCCTCTGTCTTTTCTACACGTATTATCATGGCAGCTACTTTCACTGGTTTCCAAACTGCATGAATTTGTGCGTGCTACTAGACTGGCATCTTGGTCCCACCCTTTCATTGTCGAAACGAGTAAACGTAGCCATTCCTTCTACTCCAACAGCTTCTTATCCCGCACTTCCCGTCTATGGAACTCCCTTCCTATCGCATGCTTCCCTGGTAGATATAATCTTCAAATATTCAAATGTAAAGTCCATCGACATCTTCTGATGCCTTGATCTTGATCCCTGTCCTTCTCTTTATCCTTTTCCCAAACACTCCTCTTTTACTCTTACTCTCACTCTCTGTAAACCCTTGCGTGGTAGTGGCACTCTCGCCTTGCTTGGGGTGATTTGCTTAAAAAAAAAAAATATAGCAATTAACAAATATTAAAAGAGGAATCTGTGGAGTGCTATAATCGCCTACATCCTGAAGAGGCATCGCTTTAAAAAAAAAATGCTAATCACGAGTGGACAGATGTTAAGAATATCTGTCCTCGAACTGGGCAACGTTTCAGGTTGGATAACGAGGCAACAGTTTACCTGGATGCGTCACCCATTTATTTTGTTTTTTTCTTCCCTGTTTTCGTTGCCTCGGTTGCTGCCATATTCTGTTACTTGAAGCTTGTTTATTAGTTTCATGGGGTTCGGAATAATTGGAGAAGAGAGTCCGGTCAAATGAGTTCTCCGTTTCATGCCGTTCTTTATTGTCCAATAAATCGTCTGTAATCACCTTCGGAAGGCGATGTTTAAAAACGTCTAATTCATTACGAATAGACAGTTTCTCACTCGGTTTGGAACAGAGAAAAAGCAAAGAAAATAAATCAACTTGGGATATATTATCTGGGCGCCAAAGAACGAACTTATGAATATTCTTAATCAAAACGTAGAAAAGAGGGATATTTATATATCAAAGTGTTTTTTTAAACCTGAACATGTCCTATGAATGATTTGTTTGTTTTTTTTACTTAATGGTCCCAGATTATTATTTATTCATCAATATCACAATTGGGAGATAACTAGTGGGGAACATACTGCCGTCGAAATGGTTTACACTGGTAATGCTAATGTAATATTAAATGTTTCCTTATGTATAAATAATCGACATTCATTAACCGATCAGCCAGTGTTACAGTCGGTTGAAATTTATAAAAATAGGGAAGTGGCTTATATAAGTAATTGTCATCCCTCTTCCCATTATTGCTGAGGATTTCTCTTCTATACGGTGACGGTTATCAGCATCTTGATTGTGTTGTTATTTTCTCTTCGAGGGCGTATCCGTTTTAATTATTGCTTTTGTTGAAAGTTATCAAGTGATGTGGCTTCTGTTTTTTTTTTTTGTTTTTTTTTTTTTTTCCATTCGAACCTGTATCCTATACGGTTTAAAAGCAGTAAATTCGACCTTGCTAATACGACGTTTCTCTGTGGCTCGATCCGTTAAGAGCACGTCATGCTAAATGACGGTTCCGTATAGGATACAGGTTCAATCCTGTCGGAGGAGGAATGTTTTTCTATGAGGACTTCTCGGACATTCAGACCAGTAAATGTTATAAATACTGATTATTATAAAACAGAGCATTTACTTAAATATTTGTATCTATAAAAAGAATGTATAAAAATGACTTAAAATATGTGTGTGTGTGTGTGTTGCATTTCCGAGAGCTTCAGATTTTGTTTAGATTCTTTTGTTTTTGCTTCCATCACTTTTGTTATTAGGTGCACCACACTGTCATAATAGAAGATCTCCTAGGAATGTGGAAATATTGTAAGTACCAGGGCGCAAATTTACTATGGATGACCTTGCGATCAAGGCAGTGAACTGCTTTCTCCTTTAATCAGAGTCGCATTTTTATGTCAAAATTGTAGTTATCGTTACGGCGAGCAACTAATGCATTTGATGTATTGTTTTATACATACATACATACATACATATATATATATATATATATATATATATATATATATATATATATATATATATATAGTCAACGACAAAATTATTCGTACATCCATCAATTTTGAATATTTTTATTAATTTCTCAAAATCTAATGCCCGTATGATGCCAGTTTTTAATATGTTAATAAGCACCAAAAAAAGGAATATAAAACTCATTTTTTTAGAACAATAGGTTAAATACAACAAATTTGACCGTCGAGTTATGCAAAATACAACACACACACACACACACACACACACACACACACACATATATATATATATATATATATGCAAAATTTCTGATAGATTATATCTTTAAGAAGACAATATGAATAAAAAAGGAAAACATAGCGCGTTTCATCCTCTGAGCTAATTTATCAAGGCAAACGAAAGGATTTTATTGTGTAACAATTTTTTATACAGAAGGGTAAAATGTTATTGGTTTTTTAACAACGCTCATAAATATTTATCAGGTTAGCCGAAAAGTTTAGGCAAGCTATGGAAGACACCAAGGGACACAATTCAATGTCTAATAAACGAAAGTGAGTAAACGATGATCTTTAATTTATTTATTGGAAATTAATGAAATTTTGAAGGCTCAACTTCAAAATTGTTCAATAATATTTCTCTTCCTCTCTTCCTTATAAGTAATATTTGATAATATATATTAGACAATAAGCTTGCGATTAAAAAATCTCCAAATTTTAGATTTACCCGGAGCCTAAAATACTATTATAAATATAATATTTCTTGTTCGCTAACTAGTCTTTCAATGAACTATCAACCAGGGTGTTTGTTCGATCATTTGTCATACAAATATAACTAAAGTTCTCATGATAAATGACTCACATTTTTCACATATTTATTCGAGTATACAGTATTATAAAATAATGCTTAGCAATAGTTTGTGTAATTGCGCCTACAGTCGCAACAAATTTCCTGAGTTTTTTCAAGTTCGAGAAGTCGTTCGCAAGGTATCATTGTAATTATTTTCTTTCAATTTGAAAGAAACATAATGCTTCAATAAATAGAATTATTAAAATTTGTAGATCCGTGTTTGAAGATTAATTCTTCGTTTATACACGCATCTTCCGCTACACACACACACACACACACACACACACACACACATATATATATATATATATATATATATATATATATATATATATATATATATTTGTGTGTGTCTGTGTAATTATATGTGTGTGTGTGTGTATGTGGAATGGCATCGTGAAGAAAGATTTGAAAAAATATGTTTTGGATAAATTATGCGTGTGACTTGGCGTCCGGATGGAAGATTTGAACAACAGACATGAAGAGACTGAGCTGAGTAAGATCAACGGACTGTCTAATGCAGTCTATCACTATTTATTCATATCTATCTTTCTATCTCCGTTTGAGCAAATCTTACTATCTTAGTCTATTCAAATCTATCTATCTATCTATCTATCTATCTATCTATCTATCTCAGTCCGTTTAAATATATCTATCTATCTAATGGCACAAATGATAGCGACATTAGCTACAATTTTACTGGAAAAACTGTTAGAATCTCAGCGGTAGATGACACTATTGCTGCAGAAGGCGCTGAAACAAAATGCGAGAGGCATCATTGTACGCTGCATCTATCTATCTATCTATCTATCTATCTATCTATCTATCTATCTATCTGTTTTGTTCCTCTATGTATCTATTCTCTTCATCTATCTATCTATCTATCTATCTATCTATCTATCTATCTATCTATCTCAGTCTTTTCATTATCTATCTATCTACCTATCTATCTATCTGTCTGTCTCTGTCTGTCTCATTATCTTCTATTATCTATCTATCTATCTATCTATCTATCTATCTATCTCAGTCTTTTCATTATCTATCTATCTATCTATCTATCTATCTCAGTCATTTCATTATCTATCTATCTATTTCAGTCTTTTCATTATCTATCTATCTATCTATCTATCTATCTATCTATCTATCTATCTATCTATCTATCTGTCTCAGTCTTTTCATTATCTATCTATCTATCTATCTATCTAATGGCAGGAACGATAACGCTATTAGTTACAATTATACCGTAGAAACGTTTTTAGAATCTCTGTGGTAATTCACTATTCACTATTGCTCTACGACAGTCACCTAAACAAAATGTAATGGGCTTCATTCGTTCGCTAGAATGGATGACATCCTCGTACTGAGATTCCTAAGTCACATAGCTTTCCAGCATCTGACAATGGTTGGATAAAATGCTCTAGATCTTCTTTTATGTACCGTGTTCCCTCACGAAATGAACGATCATGTCTCCACCCAACTTCCTGTCTTTTATTTCTCTAAATATCTTTTGACCACTTATCGAACTTTTATATTTTTGTTCTCTCATCCAGTCACCAAAACCCGAAACTTAGCTTACTCGCAGTTTCTCGCTAGATTTCAAGCCGTGAGTGTTAAATTCTCCAAACCCACTTTCCTCATCATGTTTTTAAGGAAATGGCGAAAATGGAGAATATAAGGAAAAGTCTATTACGTTAATCTTCTAAGTGGATGGAGTTTGCATGCCTTAAAAGATGAAAATATTTACTTGAACATCGATTTCTTGTACTGCTGGTAAAAGTATAACTGTCTCAGTCACAATGCAAACTATTAGCACTAAATATAGAGCTCTCAATAACATAGAAATAAAGGGGATGTTGTAGCCATAAAACACCCTTTTAAATAGAGGCTCTGGCGCTGAACCGATGTATAATATCCTTCTATATCACAGTGGAAGTTGGTCTGTTTACAACACAGACGAAGAGATTTGAGGCTACAGAGATATAGCACTACAGAAGACTGTCGAGAATAACATGGGCAAAGCACGTAACCAATGAGGAAGTTTTAAGGTTTACTTTAAAACTTGTTGCTGACATTTTTGAAAATGGAAACGAAAATGGCCGTTCTACACAGAATCACAAAGAGACAGCTGAAATTCCCAGGACATATAATGAGGAAAGAAGGCTTAGAAAATACACAACGCATTGAAGGCAAGGGAGGCAGAGGGAAAACAGCGAATAACCTAACTGACGACCTTGTGCAAATGAATCACGGATTAGGAATCAGAAGGGGTTGTAAATAGGTAAACATTGCTAAGAGCTACAAAGAACAGGAAGATGTAGAGAGCTATAATCCCTCACGACCTGAAGGAACACAGCACATAAAAGAAGATATATCAATAACAGTGATCCATTTTTTCACTGGGTTCTGTTTAATCCTTCTAGATTTTGTGGGTGTTTCTGAAATCTTCAGACATATAACATAATATTTGATAATGATATGCAGGCAAATTATACGATACTGATATATAATATGGCCAGTAAAAAACATTTGTCGATGTCAGAATCATGGAAAACGTAAAATTGAATTCAAGGCGTATTATCAGAGTTTGAGAAAGCATGATTACCTTATCGCTTCTATCGATTTCTTTCGTACGAATAAATCTAACGAGAAATTAAATATAAAAACTAATGTCAGAAAACTTCTAGGCATCTGACATCGGTTGGATAAAATGTTCTAGCTTTTATTTTATGTACTGTGTCCATTAACGAAGTGGGAGAGCACGCCTCTCCACAACTTCCTGTTTTTTATTTCTCTTTGGACCATTTATCAAAATTTTTGTTTTGCCATCCATTCACATAAACTTGAAAGTTACCTTACTCGCTGCTTCTCTCTTTGGTTTCATGCCTTCAGTATATATCTGTTACAGTTTTTTGTGTATATATGTGTGTGTAACTAGTGAGTTAGTCAAAATGACTAAATTCCCTTTATAGTCTACCAATAAAAGATTAACCAATCAGAAGCCGCAGAACTTTGTATCCGTCGTGTATAAAGGCGGCCATTTTTGTTTACCCTACCCGAATGACCAGAGCCAACTTGTCAGGCGAACATGACAGAAGGAAGAACTACGCTTTGCTATTTTGCTGCGATATCCACTGCGAACCTGAATTACGCTTTCCTACTGTCTCCGAAATATTCACTGCCAACCTCTGGATTCTATACTCGAAGACGACCGTCATGAATTTGTAACATTGGTTATGAGCGCAGATCACGATTATATTTTGACGGGAATGAATCGAGATATGAATTATGGGAGACGAAGAGTTAAATTCTCTAGACACCACTTCGTTTACGGCCAAATCATGTTGATACGTCAATTCCCGTATGATCACTGAAGTTAAACAACGTCGAGCCTAGTCAGTACCTAGATGGGTGGCCGCTTACAAATACCAGATTTAGTAAAATGTAAGATTGGATGTGCGGGTGGTGTGATGGATAATGTCTCGGAATTGTTATTTGGAGTACCCAGTTCCAAATTGGGTTCGTTATATTCACTTACGCGTATTACCCTTAGGAAAGGTATGAATTCATCTCTTTCACCACCCAGCTATGGGTTAATGACGAAAGTAAGTTAAAAATTATCCGCGCTTTCGCCATAACTTAGGAGTGAGAATAATTTTTGTAGAAGGACTTGTATCTCTAAATAATTATTATCTCAAAAAACTTCTGATTATCTAAAAATATTTTCTGGCTTTAAATAACCTACAAAGGGTTGATAAGTCATAAAAAAATCGAACCAATCTATCCAGACCCTCTTTCCTCATTATGTGTCTCAGAAATGGCAAGTGTTTTTATTTTTTTTTCTAATTAAAAATATAAAGTTTCTTTTCAGTTTATATTTTCCTTAAAACTTCCTACTTGATCACATGTTCAGTCCATGGTAATTTCAGCATTCGTTAGTAGAACCATATCTCTGTCTTTTCAAGTCATTTTCGTTAGATGTGCATTGATTGTTCAACATTCACCGAGATTAGATATTGCATAATAAATCAGGAGTCTGGCAAGAAAAAAATATAGTCTGGTGAACGAACTTTCCTGGCAGCTCACCCGTGAAGAAATTATCCAACATTCGCTGCTATTTTGGAGATCAGGTATTACATAACATTTTTTTTTACTTTGTTCCTAATGCAATGACATTTCTTTAAAAAAAATATAACAGGGTTTATATGCTTATTCGTGCTGCAAACAATACTTTCAAGTTACAATTGAAAAAAAAAGAATATTAGTTGTATTTTCTCGCTTTGTTGTTGAAAGCAACCAACAGCGTAAAGTATATTATTTTGGTAATTTTATATTTTTTCTCTTCCTGATTTTCCAGTATAATTCGCATGAACCTTTTCTGCTGTTTTCTAAGCCAAATAATTAAATTTCTTTTAGTGTGCATATGACACATAAACCTCGTAGACACTTCCTTTTATGATCGAATTTAAATTCTAGTTAACAGATGATACCCTTCTAGCTTTCTTTCTTGATGTGGTTCTTTTTCTCTACTTACTTTAAGTTTAAATGAAAAAGAATCGATCTATATATATATATATATATATATATATATATATATATATATATATAGTGTTAAATAAAAGACTGTTTTAAGCCAAAATTGCTGGTTTTTTTCAGTGGATTGCTGATAAGAAGGCATTTAAGGCAAGCATGTTTTATGGTAACGTGCTCACTATCGAAGACAAAAGATAGAGCGTTAATTAAATTAATATAAAAATGTTTTTTCACGTAACGTCGAAGTTTCGCAGCTATATAGATGTAACCACTCGTCAGAACAGAGTTAAACTGTTGATATTTTTTGTTTTGTTTGTACTATTATTTTGGCATGAGTGCGTTACTTTTCTTTTCGCTTGATGGGTGTTCATTGGTTGCTGATTTCTCTTCCTGTCCGTTCTTTTTGTTTTCGTTTATTTCTTCTTTTATTCTTTCCTCACCTTCTCCGTTGATCTCTGATTTATTGTTATTGTTTTTACCATTTCCACAAAATAGGAACTAGCAACCACAAAAAGCTAATTGAAAAAGAAATCAAATTCTATAAAACCAGTAACAATGAATTAGAAAACAACATAACGAAGATACAAAGACCATAGCAGCCAAATTAAAACTAGGCAACAAAATAAAAAATGCCTAAAGTAGAATCACTCATTCAACTAAAAGACCACTAAAAAATCCCACAAAAACAACACTTGAAAAATTAGTAAGCAAATTGTAAAAGAATATGTATAAAGTTAAAGCGCATATTAAACATAACCCAATGGAAAACACAAAAGAAAAATTAATTGGTTCAACAGCATCACCAACAAAAATTGTTCCTTCATACAAGTGGACATAAAAGAATTTTACTCATCCATCAATGAAAATGCACTAAACAATGCACTAAACCAGGCAAATCAATAGATAAACATCCCAAACGAAGATATAAGTATTATCAAACACTGGAGAAAATCAATTTTATACTACGACAAAATATGGACAAAAAAGTGCAACACCAGTAATAACAATACCACCAATATCGACCATACCTTTGACGTAACAACGGACAGCTATGACGGCTCAAAACATGCGAACGCATCGGCATATACATCATCAATAAATTGACATACACAGCGTTAATCAAAAAGATATAGGCTTATACAGGGACGATGTACTAATAATCATAAAAAATTACAACGGCAGAGCTACAAAAAAATAATAAAACAGATCATAGAAATCTTCAACAGATTAGGATGTAAAATATTCATAAAATTCTTAAATATAACATTTAATCTAAATAACAACACATACAAACCACACAGAAAATTGAACAACAACCCCATATACATCAACAACAATTTCAATCACCCTGCTGACGTATTCAAGCACAACCCATATCCATAACCGAAAGGATGTCAACAAATTCCAACAACATAAAATATTCAACAAAAACAAAAACATACTAAATAGCATTATGAAATAGCGGTTATTCGAACAAACTAGAATATACAAATGAAAACAAACCAAACACAATAGAAAAAGAAACACAATCTGGTTCAATCCACCCTACAATAATACAATAAAAACAAAAATAGAAAAAATATTCTTCAAAATAATGGAAAAATATTTCCCCAAACACAAAAACTATCAAAAATCATCAACCAAAATACAGTAAAAATCAGTTACAGCTGCATGGATAATATGAAAAAATTATAACCAAACACAATAAAAAATACTC